AAAAAATACATATTAAAATATTACCATATTTTTGTTATTTTTTTAAGGTTTCTTTCCGAATTTTTTTTAGAACTCTCGATTTTTTGTTTTCGTTGTTGTTGTGTGAGGAAGGAATTGCAGTGACGCTGATTATATAATCGAATTTCTAACGGATGTTCGTTGCAAATTCGTTGGAATAATTCAGAATTCGAAAGATTTCCAATGCACACCCGTTGGAAACGACATCAATTCCCACGTGAAATAAATATGGCTGACAAGTTCCAATGGATAGTCGTTGGAATATTGTTTTTTAACAGTTATCCGTTGGAAAATTAATCAATCTTTGCGCTCGACTGTTTGTGATGCACATGGAAATTAAATGCAGAAAAATTTCAACGGATACCCGTGGGAATATTTTCGACGTTCGTTATCCGCAACGTCTTGACAGCGGAGAAAGAACCAACGGATACTCGTTGGAATTTTATTTCTCTGCCATCAGGCCACGTTGCGGGTGACGAACTTATGAGCAATTTCCAACGGATGCCCGTTGGAAGTCTCTATTTTTTTTTAAATCCATTAAATGTAAAAATTACAAATTAAAGTAACAAAAAGAAGATCTAAATAGAATCTTCATCGCTTTCATCATCCGACGTCATATCATGATTTGATATAAATTCATCGACATCATCACGAACGTTTGATGAATCATTGAATAAATCGTCGTTTATGTCTAGAAGTGCAAGTGTGTCATCATGTTTGTCTAATTGATTTGGAAGGACTGGATCTTCGAGTTGATCTTGCAATGGTTCATCTAAGTCTGTAGCTGTTGAGAACTAGGATTCTCCGCACGTTAATCTTCTAAACAACCATCGAATTGCTTTGTTTTTAGCGTTCTTCTTTAGATGGAAGAAAAAACGTTCAAATGGATACATCCATCTAAACTGTACTAAACCTCTGTATATCACCTCATTTGGTAAATAAATAGGTAAATGTTCCATCACATCAAAAAATGAAGGTGCAAAAACCCTTTCCAAAGCGCAAAGTATATCAGGAATGTTGCCTTTTAAAACGTCTAAGTTACTACTTCTTAGAGATCTTCCGCAAATATCTTGGAAAAATGTGATGATACCGCTTAACGCCCCATGTACACTAGGCTTCAATATCTCCGCAAATGCAATTGGAATGACTCATTGCATAAATACACGGCAGTCACGACCCTTCATTCCCATAAGCTTCGATGAATCTATATCCATGCAACGAGTTATTTTGGATGCATATCCATTTCAACATTTCAACAAAGCCATTTTTCTAGGATTTAGTAATCTGAATATCAAAACTGGTGCATTACCATCACGTGTCAACTCAAGCTCTTTTCTCTTGTATATTTCTCTCAAATCTTTTCTCGAGTTGACGTTATCCTTACTATTCTCTGGCACATTCAAAACGGTATTGATGATGGTATCAAAAATTCTTCTCTATATGCATCACATCTAGATTGTGTCGAAGCATTAATGAACGCCAATAAGGCAAATCCCAGAAAATACTTCGCTTATATCAATTATGTCAATCACCAAATCCTTTACATTTTTTTGTTTACAAAATTACCTCCACATTGCACAGAAGCTTGCAAATCATCCAAATATCCATTATTTATTCGTTCGGGATAAATTTGGTCTTCCATTTGCATAAACGGTCTTTCCTCTTTAACGATCTTACCTTTGATAAATTTAGTACGATTTTGCCTGGATGGATGATGAATTGGAAGAAAACAACGATGACAGTCAAACCAACACGACTTTCTTTTGTGTTTCAATTGTAACGCGTCGGTTTCCTCCATGCAATACAGACATGCAAGTTTTCCACGTGTTCTCCACCCAAATATTATGTCATATACCAGAAAATCGTTGATCATCCAAAGAAGAACAACTATGAGTGTAAAGTTTTGTTTTACTCTAACATCGTACGCAACAATTCCAATGTCCCACAAATCCTTCAACTCCTTAATCAAAGGCTGTGAAATACTTTCTAGGGTTCTTTGGTCTTTCACTGTTTTGTTTAGGGTTTGTTGACCTATTTAAGGTCTTATTTGTTTTCTTTTTACATAATGGTTGGTTGTTTTTGAGTTTTGTGAGTTTTCTAATAAAGGAGAGTGATTATTCATTCTTTTTTACTGTTAGTTTCAGACTTTGTATTGAGTCGCTAGCATCTCGTTTGACTTATCAAACATGTTTACCACCCGTGTTTGTGATGTCTTCTACCGGTTTTAGGGCTTCTTAGCCAGGTTTGGATTGAGTTTGGGGGTCCTCAGGGTTTGGGACTACTCCTAGGTTTGATTCACGAGTTTTTAAGAGGTTTGGGTAACATCAACGACTATCCTTTTTATCCTTAATTGAGAACTTTTGAGTCCATGGTCATATCATTTGGTATTAGAGCCCGGTTCTCAAATTAGGATTTTCTATCTATCAGTTTTTATTTTTTTTTGTTTGGTTATCCTATTCGCTTTGGGATTTTACTTCGGGATCCAGTTAGGTTTCGGGATTCTATCTTGTTCTTCGTTAAGGGTTTATCAAATTTATAGTATTGTCGTTTGATCTAATTTTTGTTTCGTTTCATGGGTTTTGTGTTTTGGGTAAAAAAAGAGAGAAAGGAAAAAAATATTTCGGAAACACTTATGAGAAGCGAAAGATTCTTGTGAGTATGAGAGTCATCATGTGTGGAGCCTTACAACTATCTCAAGTTGGGGGAGGTACTTTCTTATGCAATCCGAGTAGAGCGATGGCTCAAGAGGAAGGGTTTTTTACTGTGATAGTTTACTTATATGGAGCAGTATAAGAGATCATGTAGTGTTGTCATTTAGGAATCCACAACAAAACCGTCTGTGACCGAACTGCGAGGTACTATCTTGGCTACGCCTACCACTTCTTTTATTGATACATGTTTAGCAGAGACGGTGGTAGAAGCAAGAGAGGCAACAATAGTGCATCCTACACCATGTGGAATGCAATGCGTGGCTGAGGCCGCTGAGGAGGAGCATGATTCTGAGCCCAGAGTCAGATACGATGGAACCTACAGAGGATGAGGCAGTCTCGAGCAGTAACGTGAGGGCTTGGGTAGTGGCCAAGTTGCAGCAATACCGTGTGCACCACACATCAATCAGAGTATAATGCATATAGATTTTATTTTTAGAGAAGATGCTTTCGAGGAGCTAAGAGTGATTGTGGTTCAGACAAATCACGAGTTATTTGGCACTCTGGAGGGATAACACAAATGGAACGTCGACCACCCAGGGTTAGCAGAAACAAGAAGGTGTTTTCTCAGTCGAGTAGGTATGATCGTAGAGGTGATGATCGAAAGTCATATGAAAGTTGCGAGTGGAGCTAAATGATATGACCAAGTACACTAGATAATATTTAATGCAACTAGTTATTATTAAAAATATGAATATATTTTAAAAAACAAATTATTATTAATTTTAAAGTTAAATATATTCTATATTTTGTTTTGAATTTATAATTTATACCTTTAACAAATTGATAAACATTTTTTTAAAAATATCGAGATAACTGTATTTTGTCAATTTTTTTACAAAGTGATTGTGAATAGTTTTTTATTTATATTTTTATGTGTTATAATATAAAAACAAAGACGAGAAATTAGAATATTAGAATATTATTTTTATAAATTTTACGACTCGATGAAAAAGTTACACTTATGACAAATCAAAAGTTAGCCGAAGAATTTGACTATCGATAGTATGACATATGCAATTTTAAATAATAATGTAGACTTAGTTGGTGTGAGAAATTCAATAACGATGTATTTAGATCAATAACATTTTACAATAAAATATTGGTATAAATTAAATCTATATAATTTCAATGATATTAAATATATATATATATATATATTTATTTAATTTAATCAAATTAATGAAATATAATACTGATCTTATGACTCTTTAATTTGATACATTATATTCTAAATCAGTGTATTTTTTTAAAAAAATAAGATTTTGTTATTTTTATACTAAAAAAATTAAAAACTAATATTATATCATATTTGTGTTTTATGTATATTTGATCAAACTAATATTGGGTTATCTAATTTAAATGTATAGAAAAACTAGTTATCACATCCTAATAATATTTATGAAAAATCAAAACATAAGGATCACAGTGGAATTTATGTATTTATATGACACTTATAAGTAGATATATTTTTTATTAGTTGTATAATATTTTATATAATTTTATTATTTTTTATGTAAAAGAAAAGATTGCCATTCTTTAAATAATAAATTCCAAGAAAAAAAAATTAATATTATTGACATTAATAAAAATAAGGGAAAACTCCAAAAAATTTCCACACTTACAATTTGGTGGAAAAATAATTTCTACACTTTTTAGTATCTCTAATTATTCCTAAACTTGAAAAAAATGACTTAATAAATTTTAGAGTTGTTTAAAAGTGTCATATTAATCCTTAACATAAATTGAATAAAATAATACTATTATAAAATCCTATGTGGGACGTGAAATATCAAAACACGTCAAAATTTTGTACTACATATACAAAATCGGATTTAATAAATCCGGGTTAACAAAGTCCGTGAAACAGATTTAATAAACTCACGTATTACATCGAACTCTTACAGACATTACGTCGAATATGTTATTATTATTTCGAACCGATTTTATTAAACCGGGTTTATTAAATCTTGTTGTTGTGCATACATAATACAAAAATTTGATATATCTTGACATATTAATGCCACGTATGATTTTATAACAATACTATTTTGCTCAACTTACGTTTTAAAAAGAAAGAATTGGTTTATTCTTAATAAAATAATATCATATCATGTCATAGTTTAATAAAAATATACTAAAAATAAATTGTTAATAATATAATAATAAAACTAATAATAAAATAAAAAATAATAGAAAAAGAATAGACAGTATATACACATATATATATGTAACGACCCAAAATCCGGTATTTCAAACCCGTTGAATCGTCACTTAGGTTTTAAAAAGAAAGATTCGGTTTATTCTTAATACCATACTATCATCTCAAAATCTGCATCGGAAGTCTCAATAATGAAATTCTAACATAAGTCTAAAAATACTGAACTCATAAAAATAAAAATCTAAAGCATCGCGTCTCTTGCAACTACCAAGTCTACCACTTGATCTGCTTCACCTTTCACCTGTGGAAAAAAAGGAAGGGGTGAGCTACGCGAATAGCTCAGTGAAGTTGCAAGACTATAAACCTCGCCTCCGTACCCAATATAGACAATAAAATAGAAAACAAATTTAATCAACATTCAACTCAAGCAAAACTCAATCTATTAATTCACGTTCTTATACTGACTATTCTTTATTCGATTCTTTAAAACGAGTCCAGACTATAGGACCATTTAGTACCCCTCAGACTTAGCTTAAAACTCTTTTATAAAACAAAACAAAAAATATCGTTATAACCCTCTACGGATCACCGCCATAGTCGGGGTTATAAAAACACGACCAATAGTAATAACCCTCTATGAATCGCCGCCGTAGTCGGAGTTACCACTCCACATGGATCGTTGCCATGCCCGGATCGTTATGCCATCACATACGGATCGCCGTCGTACCATGACCTCAAAACTCAACCAATAGCAATAACCCTCTACGGATCACCGCCGTAGTCGGGGTTATCACTCCACATCGATTGCAGTCATGCCTGGATTGTTATCATACCATCACATACGGATCGCCGCCGTACCATGGTCTCAAAACTCACTTTTAAAATATTTTTAGCAGTCTGATGTCACATCCTAGTCCCTAACTCAATTCTTTAATTCTCTCATCTTTCCAAACATCATGCCAAAGTTTATTTAATATCAAAAGTTCACCTCATTCTAACGGTCTAATAATCTATTAAGAAACATCATCACATAACATGTACGTCACAAGTCATAATCACTCAACATAAATGTATCAATCATCAATCATCGATTATCAATCATTAATCATCATTCATCAATCATCAATCATCAATCATCAATCAACATACATCATGAATCCGCAAAAAAATTTAAGGCGTCTATCTTAAAGTCCTAACCGCATGATATCTATGTTCCCTATCATCATGTCTAAGCGAATAGAAGAAAGAGGAGTGTTGTCGAGTTCTCTCACCTCGGTATAAGCGATGAACCCCGAAAGATTCGCTCTAATCTTCACCTATAATTAATTAACGGTTAATAATCTAAATCATAAATATACTGTTAAATTTTATTTTATTATTTTTTTTAAAACAAAATCTGTATATTTTGACTTTGAAAAAAAAAACACAGGTTTTTAATCTTCTTTTTTTCATGTAACTAAATGGATCTAATCTATAGTGTGGAAGAAAAAGAAAATAATAATATTAATAATAATTATATTAATAATTAGAAGAAGAATGAGCACTACGGTAGAGATGATGATGATATGTGGAATAATAATAAAAGATGATGAATATGTATATAGATATGGAGAGAAAAGAGACATATAGTGAGAGAGAGTGAGAAAGTGACATGTGTGAGAGAGAGAGATTGAGTATGATGTCTCGTGAATGCAAAAGAGAGGAAGCAAGGGAGTGATAGGAGAGAGATAGAGGTTTTTACCTGCAAAAGGGTTGTGGGAGAGCGTGAGAGATAGCAAGAGAGAGGACATGTGAGATAATGCACGGCGGTAGAAGAAAAAGAGAGATAAAGGATGAATTAAAAAAACCCTAAAAGTTTTACAATTTAACCCCATATTTTCTAGACCTCTTTTTTTTTTAATTTATTTTGAACTTTTATTTTATGATGAAAATCTTTGTCCAAATTATCAATTCTTCCCAATTTTTTTCTCTCTATTAAATCCTAATTAAATTTCTAAAAATGCAATCGTTATAATATATATCCGATTTGTCGCCGGTCACAATAATATCCATAATTGTAATTTGAAAAACAAAATTAATCAAAAAAACAAAATTCGTGACCACAACTATGTAATGTCGAATTTGATGTTCGATACATTGTTTTTTTATGTGAACGTTGATTGTATCAAACTCGTTTTACCTTTTTGAAAAGACCCATTTCCAAAATTTGATTTATGTGTTCTTAGATTCAAGAGGCATTTAAGAATAGTAGTATTGTCCACTATCGTAAGAACAAAGATGTGCACTCGCCGACGATTTCATCTTTATTCTTTCACAATTGACATTAAAATTTAATAACTTGAGAAATGAAACTAAACATACCTTGTTTCAATCATCTTTGATGCTGGTTCAAGTAGAAGCCTCGGCTGACGATCTATGCTATAGGCCTTAACACTACAAAAAAGGTTATTTCCAACGGACAAATCGGTTGAAAATGACCAAATTTCCGTTGAAAATTAATGTTTTCAACGGGTAGGTCCATTGGAATTACGACGTCGGAAATAGACATCAATTGGACAACTGTTGAAATTTTCAACGGATTTTTCCGTTGAAAAATTCCAACGGATTTTTCTACCGCAATCCGTTGAAAAATTTCAACGGAATTTTCAACCGAAATCTGTTGGAATATTTTAATGAAAAATTCAAAACATATTCTCGATCTCAACCCCTACCTCAATCCTAACCCCCAGTACCCCGACTCTAAACTAAACTCGAAACTCTTAAATTAAATTCTCGAATTCACTTTCCAGTAGGTCACCCATCCTTCCACTAATCCATCACAATCTCCTTAACTTTAGAGTTTTAATTGATAATTATTTAGTTGCATCAAGTTAAACTCACTACAAAAAACATTCCATTTTTCGACGGAAATATCCGTCGCACAAAACAGAAAATTCCGTCGGTATTTTCAGTTTGCGACGGATTTCGACGGAATAAGTTCCGTCCGGTAATGGTTGTCGCAAACACATCCCGGTCGTGAATCCGTCGCATATTTGCGACGGAAAAACCCGTCGTAACTCAGTCGTTTTTTAGCGACGGAATATTCCGCCGGTAAACGCGACGGACTAACCGTCGCAATCTAGTCGATATGACCGACGAAAACTCCGTCGTTTTTCCATGGTAAACGCGACGGAAATTCCGTCGTTCAGTCGTCGCTCTAACCGACGGAATTTCCGTCGTATTTCCGTCGGATAATGCGACGGATCATCTATCGCATAATAGTCGCAAAGAGGGACGGGAGGATTGGTCAGATAATAGTCGCAAATTAGCGACGGTTGTAACGACGGATAGTTCAGTCGCAGCATCGACGAGCGACGGAAGATATCCGTCGGATTTTTTTCCGTATGCGACGGAAAAATCCGTCGCATAAGAAATTTTTTTCGAAAAAAAAATAAAAAATTTCGTTTTAAAAAATAATTATACATATGAAAATTGTTTTATATATTACAAATTGAAAAAAAAA